AGGAATAAAAGGGTCCTTTTGGTTTTATTGAGGGCTTTTTTTTTTTTTTTTTTGAGATGGAGTCTCACTGTATCACCCAGGCTGGAGTGCAATGGCGCAATCTCAGTTCACTGCAACCTCTGCCTCCCAGGTTGTAGCAATTCTCATGCCTCAGCCTCCCAGGTAACGGGGGATTATAGGCACCTACCACCATGCTCAGCTAATTTTTGTATTTTAGTAGAGACACGGTTTCACCACGTTAGCCAGGTTAGTCTTGAACTCGTGACCTCAGGCAATCCACTCACCTCTGCCTGCCAAAGTGCTGGGATTACAGGCGTGAGCCACCACGCCCAGACTTTTTTTGTTTTAATTTTTTAAATTAAAATGAGTCTGTATTTATGCCTGTTTTATGTTCAATCCATTCAGCGATTTACTCTATCATTTAATTTCTAATTGGACAAAATTAGAAAGTAATAAAATATGTTGAACAATAAAGAAATAGTTAAATCTTGGTTTAACAACTTTATAAAATACTATGTAATTAAACAAAATTAACTAAATAAGTATTAGAGTTATAGTATATTTAACATAGTTTAAGAATAATCTCCAGCCTGGGCCACAAGAGTGAAACTCCATCTCAAAAAATAAAAATAAAAAAATAAAATAAGAATAAAAATACTATGTAGTATAGACTACGCAGCAACATGATAAATGCTCACATATACAAGTGTAAAACATAAAAAGCAGAATTCAAAGTTGTCTGTACTAAGGACAAAGATTAGAAGAAAAACAAAAGATGAAAATAAATTAGTAGGATTAGAGTGTTTTTCCATATAACATTTTTACAATATTGTATTTCTTTAACAGTACCACGAAATCTAAGAATATCTACAGCTGATTCTGTACTGTACGGTAATCTTGAATAGATAAACACGGAGGTTCCTTCATACTTTATACCTTTGACTTTTTTTTTTTTTGAGAGGGAGTCTCACTCTGTCGCCCAGGCTGGAGTGCAGTGTCGCCATCCTGGCTCACTGCCAGCTCCGCCTCCCGGGTTCACGCCATTCTCCTGCCTCAGTCTCCTGAATAGCTGGGACTACAGGTGCCCACCACCTCGCCCAGCTAATTTTTTGTATTTTTTTAGCAGAGATGGGGTTTCACCGTGTTAGCCAGGATGGTCTTGATCTGACCTCGTGATCCGCCCACCTCGGCCTCCCAAAGTGCTGGGATTACAGATGTGAGCCACCGCGCCCGGCCTACCTTTGACTTTTAAAAGACGACTTGAATCAATATATGCTGTCTAAAATAGACGCGTCAGCTTTTAGGATTAAAGTCTTTATTTTTATATGGACAGAGTCTCAGTCTGATGACCAGGCTAGAGTGCTGTGGCACAATCACAGCTCACTGCAGCCTCAACCCCTGGGCTCAAGTGATCCTCCCATCTCAGCCTCCCAAGTAGCTGGGATTATAGGCCTGTGCCACCACACCTGACTAATTTTTTTGTTCTTGTAGAGGCTAATTTTTGTATGTTTTGTAGAGACGAGGTCTCCTTATATTGCCCAGGCTGGTCTCGAACTCCTGGGCTCAAGTAATCCTTCTGCCTCAGCCTCCCAAAGTGCTGAGATTACAGGTGTGAGCCCCAATGCCCAGCCAGGATTAACGTCTTTTTTTTTTTTTTTTTTGAGACTCAGTTTTGCTCTTACCACCCAGGATGGAGTGCAATGGCGTGATCACGGCTCACTGCAACCTCTGCCTCCTGGGTTCAAGCGATTCTCCCGCCTCAGCCTCCCGAGTAGCTGGGATTACAGGTGCCTACCACCACACCCAGCTAATTTTCGTATTTTTAGTACAGATGGGATTTCACCGTGTTGGCCAGGCTGGTCTCAAATTCCTGACCTCAGATGATCCACCTGCCTCGGCCTCCCAAAGTGCTGGGATTACAGGCGTGAGTCACCGAGCCCAGCTCAGATGTATTTTTTTCTATTCCAGTCCAGGCATACATGACTTGCCCCAAATACAATGGTAGTTAGCAGCACAGCCGGGACTAGAAACAGTATTTCTGGCTCTTTGTCCAGTCCTCTGACCACTTGGGAAAGGCTGTAGGATGAATAGATTACAGTCTGTTAACAGTCATCTCACTTTTCCACTAAAACAACTCTTTAAAAGATGACCAGTGACTTCCTCATAGATAAATCCAAGATCAAGTCTCATTCTTCAGCCTCCTCCACCTTTGCAGGAGCTGTGACAATACTGACTTCCTCATAGATAAATCCAAGATCAAGTCTCATTCTTCAGCCTCCTCCACCTTTGCAGGAGCTGTGACACTACTGACTCACTAAGTCCAGGTCCACCTGACTCCTGAAGCCCCAAGAAATAGAGATCTGATCCTCTTCCTTCCCTGACTGCCTCATATCTGTCCTCTCAGGCTCTTTTTCTTTCTCGTGTCCCTTTTGTAAATGAGCTTCCTTCTTTTGTAAAAGAGCTTCCTCTTTTACTACTCTTAAATACACATCTCCAACTGGATATCTCGCCAGCAATCTAAGAACATCTTGCTCAAAAACAAATTCATGGCCGGGCACTGTGGCTCACGCCTATAATCCCAGCACATTGGAGGCCAAGGCGGGCGGATCATGAGGTCAGGAGTTCGAGACCAGCCTGGCCAACATAGTGAAACCCCGTCTCTACTAAAAATACAAAAATTAGCCGGGCACGGTGGTGCGTACCTGTAGTCCCAGCTACTCGGGAGGCTGAGGCAGGAGAATCGCTTGAACCAAGAAGGCAGAGGTTGCAGTGAGCCAAGATCACACCACTGCACTCCAGCCTGGGCGACAGAGCAAGACTCCATCTAAAAACAAAATTCACTATCCTCTCAGCCCCCAATCCAGGTCTCCCTCTGAGTCCTCTATTTCTGCAAATGCCTCAACCATGCTCCAAAACACTCAGGAGCAAAACTTTGGAATTGTTTTTCCTCTTTGTTCTTCACATGCCTTCAGTTGCTAGGTCTTCTACACCCACAAAAACCTCCCCAAACCATGTCATTCTTCGCACATTGATTTCACTGCCCTGGTGGAACTTGTCTTTAATTCCCCAAGGCTAGCCTGATAATTCCCTAATTGGTCTACTTCAAGCCAACCTACATACTGCTGCCAAGTCAATAATATCCAAGCACAAACCAAATGACGTCTCTCTCTTGCTGTAAAACATTCCATGGCTCCCATGGCACGTATAATTAGAGTCAATGTCACCCTGTTTTCCTTTTTTAAAAAAATTTAGGCTGGGCACAGTGGCTCACGCATGTAATTCGAGCACTTTTGGAGGCTGAGGAGGGCAGATCACCTGAGGTCAGGAGTTCGTGACCAGCCTGGCCAACATGGTAAAACCTCATCTCTACTAAAAATACAAAAATTAGCCAGGTATGGCGGCGGGTGCCTTTAATCCCAGCTACTTGGAAGGCTGAGGCAGGAGAATCGCTTGAACCTGGGAGGTTGAGGTTCAATGGTGACATTGGTGCTGAGATAGCACCATTGTCTGTCGCCCACATTGGAGTTCAATGGTGCAATCTCGGCTCACTGCAACCTCCACCTCCCGGGTTCAAGCGATTCTCCCACCTCAGCCTCCTCAGTAGCTGAGATAACAGGCGCCCACCACCACGCCCGGCTAAATTTTGTATTTTTGTAGACACAGGTTTTCACCATGTTGGCCAGGCTGATTTTCAACTCCAGACCTCAGGAGATCTGCCGACTGGTCTCCCAAAGTGCTGGGATTACAGGCGTGAGCCACTGTGTCCAGTCGAAACTCCGTTTCAAAAACATAAAAATGAAAATAATGTATCCAACTGAAGTGTCACCCTGTGTTCTACAACAAAGCTCCAGTTTCATCTGGCAGTACTCCCTGGATGTACCCTGTGCCTCCACATAAGAGGAACTGCACTTGCTCCCAGGGCTCCTCCCTCAGCTCAGCTTGGTCACCTGCAAGCCTCTGTTGGTGCCATTCTTCACCCCAGAAATGCTGTCTCCTCTCAGACCCACCTCAGTTCAGGACAGCACTCTCTCCAGTAGCCTTCCTGACTCCTTTGGACCAGATGTGATTTCTTCCACATCTGAGTCTTCCCAGTTCTGGGAAGTTTTACTGAATCTTTTTAATAGTGCTTACTTCCTACCTGACCTAGACTGACTGTATATTCTCTTGTGCAGAGACTTTTTGTGTCTCGTTTGCTTATGCACAACAGGTGTTCCAAAGATATCTGATAGAATCGAAAGAGAAAACCGATTCCTGCCCAGAAACCTTTGGACAGAAGAATCTACACTCAGTAGCCTGACAACTCTGCCTTAGCAAACAAGTTGGTCAAACATGCCTAACTCCCTGGCAAAGAGGAACTAACTTGAGCCCTCCCTGGTGAACAATGGCCTGCTGCACTTTGCTTTAGGATTTTGTTTCTTAACTTTTCATTTCAGAATAATTTTAGATGTACAGTAAGTTGCAAAGATAGTACTAAGAATTCCTGTACACCTTTTATCCAAATTCCTCTAACGTTAACATTTGTGTACAATTTGTCAAAATTAAGAAATTCACATGGGTACATGCTATTAACTAAACCACAGCCTTTATTATTTTTTCCACTAATGTTCTTTTTCTGTTTCAGGATCCAAACCAGGATACTGGCGCTACAGTTTTATAAGGCTCAAAATTAACAGAAAAGAAAAAAAATAAAGGAGGTCGGGAGGGAGAGAGAGAGAAATAGGGTCTCTGAAATCTATTTCTTATTTTTTTCTTATCAGACGAGGCCACTAAACTGGCATTCAGGGAAAAGGAGCCAGTTGGGGCAGTTTGTCCACAACCTGCAGCGTTTCCACGAATATGCGCATCCCGCCCCTGCCCTGGATCCTCCCCCCTCCCGGTTCCCACCTGCCAAGTCTGACCCCGGGTACCCTCTCAAAGTCCGTGGCGAGGACCGGAGCCCGGACTCCGGCTCAGTGAGCAGCGCCCTCCTACCGCCCCGGCGCCCCCGTCAGCTAGCTCACCTGGCAAGGAGCCTCCTCTCCGTGCGCGTGCGCCGCTGCCGCCGCGCGCCCTCCGGGCCACGTGACCGCGTGGGCGCAGTCCCAGACAGGAAACGCCAGTGAGGTCGCCCTGGGCCATCGAGGCAGCTCGCGCTACTTTTTCTTAACCTCACTCGGTTCCTGTGTGCAACCTGATGTTAGCTCTGTCCACCCTCAGCTCCAAAGCCAACTACGGGTAACCAATATACAAACGATGACATGAGATTTAGAAAAACAAGACGGGGCGTGTGTCAATACATGTAAAATTCAATGGTTCAAACATTGAGGCTCATACTGGCGCGGTGGTTCACACCTGTAATCCCAGCTTTTGGGAGGCCAAGGCAGGAGGATCGCTTGAGGCCAGGAATTCGAGACCAGCGTGGCCAACATGATGACACCCTACTCTACCAAAAATTTAAAAAGTAGGGCAGGGCGCGGTGGCTCGCGCCTATAATCCCAGCACTTTAGGAGGCCGAGGCGGGCGGTTCACGAGGTCAGGAGATCGAGACCATACTGGCTAACACAGTGAAACCCCATCTCTACTGAAAATACAAAAAATTAGCTGGGCATGGTGGAGGGCGACTATAGTCCCAGCTACTCGGGAAGCTGAGGCAGGAGAATGGCGTGAACCCGGGAGACGGAGCTTGCCGTGAGTCGAGATCTCGCCACTGCACTCCAGCCTGGGCAACAGAGCAGTCTCCATCTCAAAAAAAAAAAAAAATTAAAAAATTAAAAAGTAGCGGATGTGGTGCGTGCCTGTACTCCCAGCTACTGGGGAGGCCGGGAGGCCGTCAGGTGGGAGGATCCCGTGAGCCTGGGAGATCGAAGCTACAGTAAACACTGCACTCCAGCCTGGGCGACGGAGCGGAGACCGTCTCAAAAAAAAAAAAAAAAAAAAAAACCAAAACCAAATATTAAGTCTCTAGGAATCCTGTCAGAGAAAGGTAGATCGGGCCGGGCGCGGTGGCTCACACCTGTTAACCCAGCACTTTGGGAGGCCGAGGTGGGTGAATCACCTGAGGTCAGGAGTTTGAGACCAGCCTGGCCAACATGGTGAAACCCATCTCCACTAAAAATGCAAAAATTAGCCGGCCGTGATGGCAGGTGCCTGTATTCCCAGCTGCTCGGGTGGCTGAGGCAGGAGAATCGCTTGAACCCGGGAAGTGGAGTTCCCCATGAGCCGAGATCGCTCCAGGGCACTCCAGCCTGGGTGACAGAGTGAGACTTTGTCTTAAAAAAAAAAAAGAAAAAAAGAGGGCGGTGGGGAGAGAAAGGTGGATCTAAGCTGAGGTTAAGAGGTAGAGCCTGTCATTGAAAAACAGACTTTGAGGGGTGGGCGGCGTCCACTGCAAAGATGCGGCTGTCTGGCTCCGTCTGGAGGCAGGAGCCCGGAGGAGCGACCACGGAGCCATTGAGCCTGTGGATGGTGGCCTCCGTAGCCAGCAGGCCATGCTGGAGTATCTGCCAACCTGATGAAGACAAGGACGTCCCACAAGTTCCGGACAGATGTGGTCGCAAATTAATGAAGAAAGAAAAGGAGTTTTTGTTTTGTTTTGTTTGAGACAGTTTTGCTCTTGTTGCCCAGGCTGCAGTGCAATGACAGGATCTCAGCTCACTGCAACCTCTGCCTCCCGGGTTCAAGTGATTCTCCTGCCTCATCCTCTGGAGCAGCTGGGATTACAGGTATGCACCACCACGCTCAGTTAAGTTTGTATTTTTAGTAGAAAGGGGGTTTCTCCATGTTGGTCAGGCTGGTCTCAAACTCCTGACCTCAGATGATTCACCTGCCTTGGCCTCCCAAAATGCTGGGATTACAGGCGTGAGCCACTGTGCCTGACCAAAGGTGTCTTAAGCTTAGAAAAATGATAAAAGACATAAAAGCTGCCTAGGAGTGAGACTACTGGGTCATATGAGGCTCCTTCGGGGTGAGCAAAGGCCTGGAAATCAGCATGCAGATAAGGAAAGAAAGAGACTGTCAGTTCATGCAGTTGTCAGCTGGCTGGGGGCTACGGAGAGTCACTTGTGGAGGCACCTGGTCTTTGTCCCCCAAGTCCCAGACAAGCCAGTATCTCACCTTCAGAACTAAGATGCTTGGGAAACCAAGACCAGGAACTGTGTAATGCAAACAGCATTACGCTAGAGAAGAGGTGGCAGGAGATGACCTACAAAAAAATGGAGCAATAGCCTAGAGCAAGAAACACAGAACAAAAGAGAACTGAGATGTTACACCACCTCCTGGAAGGTCACTGGGACAAGCACATATTCAGGGGCCTCCTAACAGACTAGACTTCCAGCATCCTCAGATGGGGCTAGACACTTTTTACATAGACATTCAAGACTAGAGAAGTCAGGGACATCTAATTTATACCAAGAAATACATACACACGGACGTATGCCTGTGGAGCAGAATTCTGGAAAAGCTCACAGCCCAGAATATAATGTAGACACCCCCAGCCACAGCACCTTCCAATCCTGAGAAGAGTGCTGATTCTCCATCTGAGCACCCATTCTCCTGCAACATCAGGGGAGAGGAGTTCGCCTAAGGATCAGACCAGTGCTTCCAAACCCAGCTCCGCACCTCTGCCTGTTGATGGCACTTGTGGGTGAAGGGGAGATGGTATGAAAAGACTCACAATAGGAGTCACCTGAACAGGGTGGGGCTTGGTGGAAACTGACATTTGTTCCAGTTGGAAGCAAATGTGGAATTTGGCATCTTGCCCTAGCATCAGACACATGAAACTCTCCAGTGTCAGGACTTTTGACAGTGACTTCAAAGCAAAGCTGGGAGACCTATGTGGCCCAGGCTCTACACAGGCAGGAGCTCAACTTCGCTCACAGCAGGATTCCTAGTGCCAAGAATACCATGGGTGCATAGCAGGTGATCAAAATAATTGTATGTGGCTGAATCAGTGAGAGGTAAGAGGACTTGAGGCCGGGCACGGTGCCTCATGACTGTAATCCCAGCACTTTGGGAGGCTGAGGCGGGCGAATCACCAGGTCTTATAGTATATAGTCAGGTATATATATTATATATATATATGCATTTTTGTAGAGGAGGACAGGGCTTACTCCATTGGCCGCAGGCTGGATTGCAGTGGTGCGACATCATAGCTCACTCTAACCTCAAACCCTGCGGGTC